GCATTTGTTCAAATTCTACAATAACGTACACAGGTTATTAAACTAGTGAATAAAGTAAAGTCAAAATGAGAGCTAACGAAACTACATGGTCATAAAAACATGTAGTATTATCTAGGTAGAGATAACTACTAACGAAGGGGAAAAAACAACTACAGAAGGATGTGGGGAAAGATGATTTGGTAGCCAGTTGGAAACTTGGACCAGTTCAGAAAACTCTGTTCACCCATTTTATTTTCAACCTTCTAGCTAATGATTACTTTGTTTACAGTACAAGGACAATTTGGAAATACTAAAAACTCAGTATCTTTCTAAAACCTAATATTCTTCACGATATATAAAGTAAAATTACACTACTATAAGAAAGCCTCGCCTCGGTTAGCATGCCAAGATACACCAACCATGATGAAGAGATCACCTTCTACACTACTTGAACAGCTTCAAGTCATGATAATTGCAGTATATTACAAATGCCTGAGGCTCTTGCAAAATTCAAATCTTTTCAAAATACAAAAAAATGAACACCTGATGTATCTTCCTTCACTATTCTCACACAAACCTTGAAACAATAACTTCCATCTTGATAAACGTGACAATAGTAAAAATGCGTCTTCCCAGAGTCCCAATCGATGACCTACAAGACAAAAGATGATGGATTGAAAGTTCATAAATATTACTTTATCATTTTGTCATATTATGCTCTAACCAAACGTTGTTGGTTAATTAACATTTCAGTAAATCAACACTTTCACTTTTCATATAGAACTCTGGACCATAATATAATTCAAAGTTTAGAAAAGGGAAAGCAAAAGGGGTGGGTTGAACAAAAAAAGGAAGCATGCAGAAGAAATGCCTGCCAATTATGACTCTCAACGAGAAAGGTGGCTCTAACAGGGAAAAAAGCAGGACAATCATATACAAAAGAAAACTAATATCAGAAAGACTGAATGTGATTTTAACCTCTATTCTATCTGACGGAGCACATAACTGTTTTCCACACATATCCCAAATGCAAGACTCGTAAACCCCCATTGGGAGATTTTTCATTTCTAAAATCTTATTGGCATTGTCGGTAGTTATAACCTCTTCCAACTTGCTCCTGCAAAAAGAACTGGCTCGGTTAAAGAAATGGCCAACAATAGACCAGACTTGACATGTGGATGAAGAACAGGACTAACCTCCCAATGTAAGAGTACAATAGAAAGAACTTTCTGAACTCAAGTTGACTAAGGACCGTCAACTGGTAGCTGCTTTCATTGAGGACTTTAAAATGATAACCGATATCCTGGGTGCTTGTGCTCTCTTCAACGCCAGGTTCACAACAAAACATTGACTTGTGAGTAGTCTGTGAAGGGCTTGCACTCTCAGGATGCGGTAAGGGAGAGCTCATATTCTGCTTTGACATCGGAGAACAAGGGCTTTCATCACCTGCATTGCAGTACAAACGTCCAAGCCCATCACGAATCATAGGGACAACAAATTAGTAAAATGAATGCAACAAAAATTCGAGAAAAAGAATAAACTATTAAAAAATACAGTCTCGTTAATACTTATTCTCTTGTCTAGAAGCTCACTTACATTAAGCAACAGATATTTTCTTGGGGAAGAAAAAGCTGATCATGGTCATAAGGACAACCACTAGCGCCGCAAACGGTTTTTTTTTTTTTCTTGGGGGTATTTTTTTTGGGGGGGGGGGGGGAGGTGAAAAATGAGAAAAAAAAGAAACGGAGATGAAGAAAGAAAGCCAACGTTGGAAACAAATACATAATAATGTATATCAAAGAACAAAAAGAAAAACAGTCCAGATGAATAATTGCAACGGCAAGAAGGACCAACCAAAACACCCGCAGTAGTAAATCAATACTCCAGCGTGCAGTAAATTATGGAAGAACTGAAGTAGTAGGAGTAAGAAGAAAAGGAGGTACTCGTACATTGGGAAAAACAAGTGGGAGGAGGCGGAGGAAAATGCAGAGCACGCTTAGGAGGGGAAGAGCAGGCGTGAAGTTGGGGTGGCGGCGTGCGCGGGGAGGGAGGAGAAGAGGACTGGCGAATGGGACTTTGAGGGCTGTCGGCGAACCAGGTAATGTAGCGACTGAGATCAGTCCGGATGGGCTGCTTGGAGTAATATATCCTCCTCACAATTTCGTAAGCTTTTTCTTCGCCAATATCAAAAAGCCTCTGGCGAGCATAATGATCAGGTGGTGGCTGCTGCTTTTCTATGCAGATTTGCTCGATCATTCTTTCCACTGGTTCTGAAAGTGAAACCGACCCTCGAAGTTGAGTTTGAGGAGAAGATGCCATTATTGCTGCCTTGGAGGTAGCGGGTGCGTGGTGCAAAGCGGTGGGCTGACGAGGATGATAATCTCCCATTCTTCGCAGGTGCTTTATACTTGTAATACTTAGTACACCAGTGAAGAGGAGGAAACCGGAAAATGGAAGTGGCGGGCGTTGTCTTGGGAAGTGGGCAGTGGGAACTGACTTGCTATCGTCGTTACGCTACGCAGCAGTAGTAGTAGTCCATAGCTGTCGCTGCTTTCTAGTCTACAAGGTATAAACTCTGACTTCTGAGAGAGAGAGAGAGAGAGGAGACAAAAGGGAAAGGAGAGGAAGATTCCCGCGCAAATTAAAGGGTGGTTGATTCTTCTCGATTAGCTTCAGTCCGAAGGAGGCCTGTCCGATTGTCAAACGGTTCGGGCGCTAGGATTTTGGAGCCCCGGCCTAAACCACCAACTTTATTAGTTTATAATTGGAGGAGAATTTCGCACCCAAAAAAAAAAAAAAAAGAAGAACAAATGGGTGGGAATATTTATCTGAGGCCTAAACAAACAAATCAGTTTACGCACAATTTATCTGAGGGTAAGTGTTAGGAATATCAGATTAATTTTACTGTCCGACACTTACCGATGCATGGAATTCATCAAGAGAAAAAATTTTTAAAAAAGAGAAAATTATATTCAGATCCCAGTGTGCATTATATAGAAGATATACATTCACTTTGTTTGGAAATTGGGGATTATTTGTAAAATTTTATCTCATCAACATATTTTTTAATTATATTTTTATTTCACTGGTTAGTTTGTTTGGATAGAGTATTATTTGGAATAATTACTGTAGCACTCTTTATGATGTGATGTATGTGAAATAAAAAGCTAATTGAAAATATAAAAAGGTAGATTAAGAAATGTATTTATAATGTAAGCGAAATATTATTTGAGATATTTGTGGTATCCAAACTCTCTAACGTGTCAGATAAAAAGTGTGTTGCAATACTTTTATTAAAAAAAACTATTCAAAAGAATTTACTATTCAAACTGTACTGTACTGTTCGGCGTGTGAATCCCATTAACCACCTTATTGGTAGGCCTACTGTGTGTATCTATGGATTTTTTTTTAACTTTTTCATTCTTCCTTTTTTTTTTTTTCCTTTGACAACCTCCTTAATTGCTCAAATCCGAAGATATCCATTGATATTTGAATTTTAATGGTAAAAATGCTGCTGCAAAAATTTTACTTATGGCTAGTTTGGGAGGAAGGAAATGAATTGAAAAGGATTATAAACTTTTTCTATTATTTGAGAGCAAAAATAAGAAGGAAAAGAAAAGATATGAAAATATTTCACTTTCCTCTGTGTTTTGGAAAACTTTCTGTCCAAAGTAGGGTGGAAAAGGAAGGGAAGCTTAAGTAAAATTTTTAATATGATAATATTGCCCCTGAAATTATGATACAAAAAATTTTAGGCCTTGTTTGGATTGCCGGTTTCTGTCGAAAAATTATGTCGTTTTCCGTGATCACATTTTCCTATTACCTTTTTCCCTCACATATATCAAATCGCTACAGTAATTTTTCCATGAAAAATCACGAAAAATGCAATCCAAACACAACCTTAATTTCCAATCAGATGAGTCTCTCAACTTACTTAATTCACATTTATTTACAAAAAGAACAAATTTTTAAAGTAATTTATTTGAGTATTTTTTTCAGTTGTTTTTAACTTCCAAAATAAAAGAAATTATTTACCTTCTCTTTTTTTCTTAAAACTTCCAAACAACTTAAATCGGAGCTTGAATCCTTTTCCGTCTTTTCTTTTATTTTCTAACTTCTCTTTTCTCTTCTCTTCTTTTCTATTCTAAACTCCCAAACTAAGCTAATAATTAGAGTACTAATTTCCCAGTATCGTACACGGACTGATTTAAGGAAAGCAAATCTAAAAGCACATGTGTGTGTGTGCTTTTCGTAATTATAACTTGCTGCCTTCGAGATCATAGCTAACTGACGACCCCACATACCGCCCCCGGGGGCAGCGGAAAAAGAAAAACTTCCCGTGCCCGTGGGCCGTGGGAACGGAATATTAATGCATGATCACTTTTTACTTTTGAGTGACATTTGAGGAAAATATCTACCGACATGTCTTATCGAGCGGTAGCATCATAACTGGGGAGTTTTGTCTGTTTACCTTTTTGGCCTTTGTCTGTTCGTGCCATTAATCACCACCAACCTTTGTCTCCCGCTAAAAATTTGTCATAATATTGGGCGACTTTCATTAGCCATAAAAAAAAAAAAAAAAAAGACTTTTCGTAAGTCGATTACTCTTCGGATTCGCCCCAAAAAGAGACGAAAGAACATGTTGGATTATTGCGAGTTTGCTCAGAAAAATTATTATATTTTTTTATGAACATATTTTTCTATCATTTTTTTATCTCATATATATTAAATTGCTACAATAATTTTTTTATAAAAAATTCAGAAAAATACAATCCAAACGGAGCCAAAATAAATATTCCGTTTGAGTGAGGTGAATATCCAATAATACATCATAAATATACTCCTTTTTTATTCTATAATTATGTCCTTTAGATGCCTAGAGGGAAATATATTTTCTGATTTTAGACATGGAGTTTTTAATGTTTCTGTTTCCTTCTGCATTTAGATTATAAACTTTTTAAATAATCAAAGAAAAAAAGAGTTAAAATTCAAAGTTATTTTTTTGATAATTTTAATCATTCTACATATAGGGAAGTCGAGCGCACTACTGACATGAACACAAAAATTTTCACGCTTACAAACTTCAAAAAAACAAAAAAAAGAAGCAAAAAAAAAAAAAAAAAAAAAAAAAAAGTTGCAGAATGGGGGCTAAAATAAAGCATTCCGGAGGATTGATGGTACAACTAGCGTTGGATATTCGTTGGTGCTGGTATTTGTGGCATGAAGATTGCAGAGAGCAGAACCCGCCACTCTCCAAGCAAAACTGCATTTGCTAATACATCCTCGACCTATGGCATGATCATAGCTCACATGGTAGATGGCAAGCGCCTCGTTATTGATTTCTTCCATCTTCTTCTTACTTTCCTGCAACTCTGCCGCTTCATACAGCAACTACACGAGCAAAAAATCTTCATTTCAGCCAACTATTCAATCCTCTATCCTATCCATTTCGCTAGGAGTAATTATTTACCAACCTCCTTGTATTTCTTGATCACTCTGTCTGCGGCCTTGTTCTTCAAGTCGTCGGCGGCGGGATTTTGTTCCAATGCGTCTCGCATCTCATACCGGTAATCGTCGTACCTCGCCCTCCACATGCTCAAGTACTCTTCAGGGATGCGTGAATTGAAACAAGGCAGCTTCCATATTTCTAGCAGAAAATAATATAATATGCCCAAATGATGGATACTACTTCAATTTCTTCTAGTCAAGAAACAAAGAAAATAGAAAAAATGTAGGAGCGAGGACGGTCACAAACCCACAATTCTCAACGTTGCATTTCACTACAAAGTGTTTCATCAACCTAAACATCCCGAGTGTATATTTTTGCACGACCTTTTTACTTCGATTAATACCAATTTTTTACCTCCAATAGAGCGCCTTTCAGATTGAAACTGCTCAGTCTGATCGAAGATATCCCCCAGGATGGATGTAGAATGGTAGCTGTTTCCTTTTCCCATGTAGTGTGGATAACTTTTTGCTATCAGGTCGTTGGGAACATTTACCTGTTTCAGAAAAGCAGGAAGGATATGCTGAGGAAAATGAATGTTGGTGGACAGACTAACAATCCCTCATCAGATAATAATTATTCTCCTCCCCTTCAAAGGAGAAGGGCAACAAAAAAGGAAAAAAAAAAAATGTCCTCCACCTGCTAGACCCCATCTGCCAACTATTTGTACGTAAAGTTGCATGTAGGATAAGCATATAAAAACATGTAAATGGAAGCCAAAACATCTTCTTCACTGAAGCAAAGATAAGTGGTCGAACGCTCAATTCACCATTTGATTGTACTTGGGAACTGGCATTTTTTGGTATCACGACAAACCAAACATGGAACCAGAGCTTTGAAAGGGTTGCCCATTCACATGACTCACAAATGGGTGCACCTAACCAAAGCATTGAACTAAGAAGTGTGTAATTCCGCGATCAAATTCCATGAAAAAAGGCATGTCAAGATCATAAAAAATTAAGAAAGCTATCCACAAGGCCAAAACACGTTGAATAAAAATGCCAAGAAAATTCTCAAGTGCTGAAGCTTACCTTCTTTCCGCTTTTGGGTGCATCTAATGCATCATAATATATGTCAACCAATTTAAGTATCTTTTGCCTTAGACCATCTGTGTCACCAGCATTTTCATCCCGAAGTACCAAAAGACAATCCATGAATGCGAGCCAGCTATCAGCAGCAACAGCCATGTTAAAGCTGAAACAGCAAATCATTTGAACCATTCACAACATACAAACATCACATAATGAGCCAGCAAACATAACGCGTGATTTAACTGGTCAAAAAAAAAAATGTCATAGGAGTAACAAACAATAATGTACATGATACAACTAGAGATGCTCAAGGAGTGCTTCTTTAACTAACAGCACAGATTCGTCCAAAAACATTCCAACATCCCATGGTCTCCTGGTTCATACTCAACAGAAAACTTTTCTCCAAACAAGTAACTCATATCCTTTCGGTAATACCACAGATCTAGGTTCATGCATCTATAAAGGTATCAGATTTGAGATTGTTGAAAGTTTTAATTACGTCTACCTCTGTATGTGTTTATAATGAGCACATAGCCTGCATACCTTGGCTTCTGCTTCTCTAGAAAGAGTCGAAAAAGCTCATATTCTAATGCTTCAGCTGAAAAATCACTGGGCTTCTTGTTTTCTGCTGGTGGAGATGAATACACTCGAGTCCATGGTTCACTGGCTCTAAAGTACTTCAAAAGCTGAAATATAAAAAGTGGTGGACAAACTTCAACAACTTCTGTCATATCCAGAAGAGTACGAACTATAGTAATTATCATTAAGACAAGGAAGCTCATAAGTAGATGTAGACCAGATGAAATATAAAGAGAGAGGCAGATCCTTCGACAAAAATGCAATTTCCTGGATCCGCGAAAAGTTTGCAATTAAAGCATAATGTCCGTCGAGTAAAAAAACTATCAACATGAGCTTTAACCACAATACTTGGCCTCATGATTTTTTATTTTTTAGAAAAAAGGAAGAAAAGAAGCCAACGGATTGATATCTTGGCTACTTCTAAACAGCCACCATATTGTTTACATATCTATCACCCAAATATTGTAGTGCTCTCTTTATCTGTCTCTTTGTCTCTCTCTGAAAAATTCAACATAGACTAAATCATTACATTAAGCACATCAGCTCCATAATAAGCATTCAAAAAGTGAAGTGTATCTTGATATAAGGGATAGGTTTAAAGGCTTATATCAGTACCAACCTGCGGGTTTCTGGAAACCCAATACATATCACCATCAAAATCTCCATTGGCAATTTCATTTGCTACTGATCTCTGTCCTTTGGTGGAGAAAAATATGCCAAATTTGGCATTACCAATTACGTCTTCCAACTCCTTCACATACACTGCTTCAAGGACATGTATGTCACCAAAGTGAAGACCAGGATTTCTGTATACTAGTACCTTTCCTGATATTTGCCCATTCTCCCTAATAGACAGGAATATAGATGTTAACATTCAGATAAGATTCTACATACCTGCAAAAACACACTTCTTGATTATGGTACAAAATAGACGAACAATATCAGTAGAGGAGAAAACAAGAAGTTCAAAACTCAACCAGATTATCGAAAAAGATATGAAATGCTTGCAAGGACAATTCCTCACTCCCGTGAATGACACCTACAAAATGTGCCTGAATTGTAAAATGCGCAACTAACAAGAAACCAAGTAGTCCACATACAAGATCACACAGACTTCATTAGCTTTCAACAGGCCCGTTGGATCAGCTGTTCCCATCACGTAAAAGCTTTCACTAATGGGGAGCTTTCCTTTTTTAAGTGATCTCCTCTCAAAATTTGCCAGTTTAGCTAAACGATCCTGAAGGTGAGGCTCACTGAGAGGCACTCCAGCTAATATCATTCTTGCGGTAGTCCAACCATCATCCATGTCTCCATTTCTGATAGAAACTGCAACATCAATTGCCCCCAAGAGAGATACTTTTCAATGTTGTTTGTATAGAAGGTTTTGTTTTTCAAAATTTGGCAATTGGTGGTGACTGTTGAAGTAAAATAACATAAAAAAGATTCTGAGTGGAACAACTATTTGAAAGACATCATCATCCATCTTTGGCCAAGAGAGTTTTATAAATCCTCATCAATCAAAGGAGAGCATGTAAAATGATTGGTCCTCTAAAGCAAATATGGCAGATAAGATTCAGATCTGCAATACCTTTAAGCGCTGCATGCAAGTTTGTAAATAACGCTTGCGTCTCTTCAAGAACATTTCTCAACATATCCAGGAAAAAGTTTCTTGGCACTCCTCCATAGCTCAGTAGAGCAATCAAATTTTTTGATAGCTGGCATCTCCTTGGTTTATGGCTGAAATATGAAAAACAAAAGTTTCATGATCACTAATCAAACTTGTAATTAGATGCATCACATTGCATTGTTCTCTCTTCAATCTTTAAATTGCAGTTTAACACCTTTAAGTAGCAAGCAAAGCTGGTTGCAACCTAGGTATAGATAAGACATAAGAGTTGATTAATGTAAAACATTGAATTAATTAAAACAGTCAGATAAATCATAACCTTGTCAGCTGCAGCAAACTAAAGCTTGGATTATTAAGAACATGAACTGTAAGCCAGAATGACAAAATTTTGCACTAGTTTGAGATCAACCCAAATTAAAGCACAGATCAATCGATTTTCTAATAAAATGAAAGCAGTATAAAGAGCAACAACTTAATACTTCATGCACTGAGCTTCACTAAACTGCAGCAGTATAAAGAGCAAAAGGAATAAAGATCACTCAGGAGAGGAAGACACCTTATTGCTACAATTTCAAGTGAGTCAAATGTTGGAGTAACAGGACACCTGATATCCCTCTCGACCTTCACCATGGAGGATCTGATCTGAATTGTTCCTGCATCAAGCTTAAATTTGACAAGGATAAATTCGTAATGTCTGGTGTCAAATTCAACAGACAAACTGGCATATAGCTTTAACAGCAAACAAATCCCATTTATAACGGTTGATACAATTTGATAAATTTCCTTCTTTTATGGGGTGGTTTCTGTCGCCTGCCCCCGGGGGGGGGGGGGGAGGACTGACTAATTGCTTAAACATCTTCTATAAAACCCAGAACTATGAGTTGGGTATCACCATTAAAGTAGAGGAGCACTGACTAATTGCTTAATTAGAGGTGCACTGACTAAACATCTTCTACAAAACCCATAACTCTGAGTTGGTTATCACCATTCTCACCATGAAAGTGAAATTCTACACATCAACGTGAATCACAGGCAAAGAAATGACAGGACTGCTCAATGCAGCAAACCTTGAAAAGTAAATGTTGGACCACATTCCTGGAAAAGTTATCCAAAAAGTGGCAACGTAACTGCAAGTATTGTTCTTCTATTCTAATGTAAGATTTAGGGTTGTTCAAAGACTGGTGTCATCTTATGTGCAAATCGTTGGATATTCTTTTCTCAGTGCAAGGATAATTGTTCCACGTAGATAGGAAGAAGCAAATATGGGCTTAAAGGAAAACACAAGCAAGTCAGAAGGCATAAGAGCCGGACTGTCTCTCTCCAAACCACTTGAGACAGAGACCGAGTGCAAACTTTTTCTGTCCACGAAGATCCCACCAGAACACTCCAAGACCATTATCATGTCACATACAGAAGGCACCACTGTCCTTGTAAACAAGACAAGTGCAAAAAATAATTGGCATTTTACAACACTACGAAGAAAAGATAGAAAGTACCTTTCTATTAACAAGAAGTGTTCCCTTGACTGCCAAACCTCTACTGAACAGACGGCACTGCATCAGTAGAGGCTACAACAAAAAGGTAAAAAGAAGAGTTTACAATCATATCCCCACTGAGAGGGGGAAAAATCAACTGAGAAATTCCCAAAACAATAGAACAAAGAAAGTAATAGATTTAAGCTTGTACCGGTTTCCTATTCCAATCTTCCACTCTTCTTTCTTGACGCAGCACATCCTCAAATTCAACAAAAATAGTCCAGTAAGAAAAGAACAAGTGAATAAAACTTGAAAGACACATAAACAGGTTTAAAAAGAAAGTTCAAGACAAAAACACACCAGGCCACCATAAGATTGTATTTGAATTAAAGACAAGGCAGTTTATGAGATCAACTCAGCACATTTCCATGCCGAATACTTCTACTATGCCATTTGCTTGCCTAGAGGCTTTTGCAGTCATACTATATAATGGTCATCTCTATACTCCAACTCATAGCGCTTTAAAAGTTGTAGCAGTATTAAAAGCCCATGCCATTGCTTTAATTTTTCTTCCCACTTTTCAACCAGGTTCCAAATCCAAGAGTCAACTTTCCCATATGAGCATCTGTTACGTGTATCATTTTGTGGAAGAAAGAATGATCACTGCTATAAGGATCATCCCCTACCTTGAATCTTAGATGTTTTGGGTTCGCCACAGTTCATTGTTTTGCTTCACAAGCTACTTTCTTTGCTTGCAATTCAAGTTGGAAACCATGAATGTATGCATGATTATATGTTCAACGGAACAACCACATGTACGAAGCTTATGATAGAGTTTACCAGCAGTCACAAGAAGTAAAAACATAGGACGAAACAGAAAAGAACTGCAACATGACATAAAAGGCTCAATAGGATCCTATAATCTTACGTGATACTTTCGTTCTCATCTTGAACGTTTTCAATCTTTAATCCATCATTGAAAATCAGTTGCAATATTAATTTGATAATCCCCTTGAATCACGTGCTAACAAAGTGCTGTCCAGCCCTTCTAAACTGGGACACAGTTTCCTATAGTTTTTCAAATTTGACAGTAAAAGAACCATTGCTTGAGCACTACTGAAATTCTGTATCACATCAGCAGAATGATAGTTATCATGTTTTATAATTACAATTATGTAGGCACCCTGTTGGCATAACTAGATAAGGTCGCACTATCCAGAAATTCAGCCCACAAGAATTGTCATCTTCAGACAAATCTCATCGCACATTTTAACTACTACTGATCAATTTAATTGAGAAAAGAAAAGAACTTTGTCTCCTAGGCACTTCTTAAATTTGCTCTCAGGTCAACAACCTAAGAACATCTGTTATCATGGCACTACAGCTTATTTCAGACATGTTTTTCCTATTCAAAATTATCTGTAAATCCTTGAATTCGAATTAAACATTTGGGCGATCTAGACATTCAAACTCTTCATTGTCTAAACAATCTTTTGACCCTAACATAAGGAAGCTAGTCTTTGACCCTTTGAACAATCATTTAGTAAAAGGTGGATACGCTAACAGTTTAGTTTACAAGCATAGCATGTCACCTCAAAATCGTTATCCTTCAAAAATTTTGCACTGCAAAAATTTTGGGGACACTTCAGAGCTAAATCTTCTGAGATGAAACCAGTTCCATCTGTGAGTACAAGCACTTCTCCATCTTCATCACGGATTTCATCACCATTTCCATCCTACAATTGATGGAATTTCAAAATACAATAAATAATTCTTTAGTAGAAGCAAATTTCTTGTATACAAGCGATGGCAATGAATAAAAAGAAGCAAATCTTATACACGACAAGGTATATCTTCAATTCTCTCAATAACAATGCTAGAAAGATCAACAGGAAGTTTAATTGTTTTCGACAATATCAGCGAAAACCTGCATTAACAGGTAACAAGTGTTACTACTTGTAAGGTTCTAAGACTTGGTCATTAATAAAGTTAAGGAATCTTACCTTGCCATATATTTTGCCAAGCTAGATACCATGTGAACGTGCATAAAATGGCATCTAGCTTTGTTTAAGTTCGATGGACACAAACTATATGATTCACTATTACCACGAGCAGCAATAGAGTCATAATTAACGAAATAGCATCTAACAGCAGGAGAAAGTGAAGTCTTATCCTTCTCCATCTCCTTTTGTTTCTTGGTACCTTTGCTTTCATCTTTAATAACTGCAAAATAAAGATAAAAAAAAAACCTAATAGTAGTAAGTCATTTAGCCTTCCAAAAGATCATATAAGCAAGTAAATTATTATTAAAAGAAAAGTTCAATACTTGTAAGTCAAAGAGAAGACACAATAGGCATTAAGGTTTGGTTACGTACTTTCAACAGGTATATAATTACCAAGAATATTCTGGGTACAAAGCAGCTTAAAGTAGAGCAATATAATTAACAAAGAAAGGAACAGAGAACATTTAAGCATTTCTGATCAGGAAAAGGAGGGAAAACCTCACCAAAAAATTTGTAACATCTCAAACCAACAAGGATTCCTTCCTTTAAAATCCTGTCAATACAACTCCTTCCATCTTCAGCAAACTCGACAATTAGTATATTGTCGTCTCCTAATGTTCTTTGCAGGTGAGTTGATGTAGTATCCAAACAAGGTCCCTGAACAACACAAATTTAACATATGTGTTACAGCAATAAGAAGACAGATAGAAGCTTCGCTTCCAATTTTAAGATTGAGCATTCATGTTCATAATGTCATTATGGCAAACATGACACTGTACTGAATTGACAGATAAGCCATGGTGAATATACCAACCCCCCCCCCCCCTCTCCCGGGGCTAAAACACATGCATATATACAATTCAGAGAAGAGAGCTTGTAAATTACCAGCTAGTTGAAGCATTTTTACAGGCTTGCCTGGAACATGAGAAATGAATTGTTTGCCTTCTACTTCATCATTTGTGAAGCAGATCAAATTTTAGACTTGTAGTTTGCCAGCCACTCTTGTTTTCATCACTTGTTTGACAAATAGCCCGTAAAATAATAGACATATTATATTATATATATATATATATATATATTTGAAAATGTGAGGGACAAAATTGGTCTTTTCGTCTTTCAAATTTGGAGGGGAAGAATCTTATTTCTGGTTTTGAATTGGCCCTCATATAATATGTGTGTCAGTGTGGCTGGGACATGAGACTTTGAGCTTGAAGGTTGATTGGAATTGCATTGTGGGACAAAAATGGTGCATTTTCAAAATTTTAGGGATGATTTTGCATTATTTTAAATGTGGGAATGAAAAAAAAATTCTAAAATAGTGAAGGATGACTTGGGTTAGTTTCCCATGTGTACATATTTGAAATAAAAAATTGACCAAAACAAAAGGAAGGAAAAAATTTGACAAATAAATTATTACTCCAACGGAAAATGAGAACATACTACTGAATTTGTTGTCATGCGATCAGGATGTTTTTACGTCACCTTTACGAGGATGGGCTGTAATCAGTGCCTTGGGCAAAAATCAAAACCAGAAGATAAAATTCTACCCCCTCCAAAATTAAAAGAGAAAATGACGGACTTTGTCCCGCACATTTAAAACAAAAAAATAAATCTAATTATAAGGACGCAAAACCATGGCCTTGTCACAAAAGACAAGGTGGTTTCTCACAAAAGTTTGTTTTAGAGTGGCAGGTGACGACGGATATGGCTTCCGCAAGACAAAATAGTATAGTATTGGGAAAACTTCAAACAAAGAAAATTGCAGGGTGCAGTAAAGCAAGAAAATAGTAGTGCAACTAATTAAACAAATTATGTTAAAAAAAAAACCTTAGTAGATGCTTTTCTCTTTATTCTACAAACACGAACCTTAAAAGAACAACTTCCATCTGCGTATACGTAACAATAATACAGATGCGTTTTCCCGGTATCCCACTCGGTGCTCTGCAAGACCAACAGATTAAATAGTGATGGTAAATGCTATCAAACTAGCAGAAGAACAACACTGAGAAGGTCTGCTCCAAACCAATGTCATTGGTCAAATTGCACACCAATTACCAATGTTTTAAAATCCGAACCGTCAATTGAACTGGTGAAGCGAAAGGGTCGAGATTCAACCGATCGGACCGGTTCAACCTCAGTTCAATGAATTTTTTTAAAAATAATTTATATAAATATATATATGCACAAAATAAGACATGCAATAGATTAATTTAAAACTTTATATGATGAAAAGTTTACTATTTTTGAATAACTTGGATTTTCAAAAATAAATTTTTTAAATTATAAGTTAAAACAAATAAATTTCATTTCAATTTCAATTATATCTACCAAAATAATCTTAAATCTAGCTCAAACATATCACAATATTTTGAAATTATACAAAATTCACGTCTATGAGAATTTGACATTGTAAACTTAAATTTTAATTTACGTCTTTGGGATTTAGAGATTGCAATTTAAAAAAGAAAGTTTGGAGTTCAAAGGAAGTCAAGAGAATCGAAAATAGAAATGCAAACTTGATAAGAAACAAAAAATGAGATAAAAGTGAGTGGCTTGTAGCATTAAATAATTTGGATTAAAGAAAAATAATTCTTTTTTAACTTTTTTCAATTTTATGGATAAAAACAAAATTAAAAAGATGGAAGAAAACATCAATAAATTAAAACTAAAGAGGTTTGATTAAAAAAGGAGTGACAAAAAAAAAGAGTGTGTGTGTGTGTGTTGAAGATTAAAAAGAAAGAGTCGTGAGAGAATGAGATTTTGTAAGAAAAATGGAAAAAAGAAAAATGGATGTTTGTTTTATATATATATGTTATCAAAAAAAAAAAAAGATATGATGGTGTAATGATTACTATATTGGTCTTTTGTTACAAAAGTCTTGAGTTCAAATCTTGATAGAAGCATTTTGCAAAACTTTTTAAAAAAAAAAAAAAGAAAAAGAGGGGAAACTTGAAAACCGGTTCGATCCGGTTCAACGGTTTTTACGGCTTTTACCAGATTTGACCGATTTTCTGACAAAGTCAACACTATCATAGAAACCGGACCGGTGCCATAGCCGGTTCGCGGTTCAACCGGTCGAACCGGCCGATCCGGTCCGGTTTTCAAAACACTGCCAATTACCAAACATGATTTTCTATCAATTTTTCATCCTTGCAAAATTTCAAGTTTACACAATTGAAACACCAAGTTAATTTGTTCTCAATGATCAGATGATGACCGTGCAGAAATATGAGCAATTATAAACTAAAAGACATTCAGAATCCCAAAAAATAAAAATAAAAAAGGACGGCACTTCGAATGGAAGCTTCACCTGTCTTCTATCAGCTGGAACGTATCGCTTTCCATAAGCATCCCAAATGCGGGATTCAAAATTACCCATCGGGAGATCTTTCATCTCCAAAATTTCGTCTGCATCATCATCACTGACAACATCTTCGAACTTTCTCCTGCAAATGAAACTGGCTCAGTCAGAAACTGCTACAGTGTAAACAAACAGGGTTTAATACTGGAATTAAAGAATTAACCGACCTTCCAATGTAACTGTAAATTAAGAATAGCTTTCTGTACTCCAGTTTACTAGTTAAGATAGTCCTCTGGTAGCTGAAAACCTCAGGAGTTATCTTCTCCTCATTACACTCAGGTTCACCAGAAAACTGTAGCTGGCGACTAACTTTGCTAGCCTTTGCCATTGGTAAATTTGATGATGAGGGTGAGCCCACATGAAGGTCCAACTTCTGATAGCCAGAGCTTTCACCATCTGTATATTCATTAAAGCCCGCATCAATCAGACGACATCTCAACAGAGTGGTTCAGATATACATAGCGAATGCAGTCTACCAAATTGTTCAATGAGTCCACTGTTGACCACGAAGCAAAAAGCATTGGACGTGTTATTGCATGGAAGTTCCACTCACGAGCAAGAGATATTTTAGAGGAGATTTGGCCAAAATGTTTTTAATTACGCTAATGAAGAAGTAACCCAGAAAAAAAAATTCCGAGTTTGATAATACGAGTAAGATAATAAGAAGACATTCGAAAGAGTAATGATATTTGCTTGTCTAAATAAATGGCACATTTTGGAAATGATTAGACTCGAAAAAGAGCAAAAAGACTGAAATTTTTTTGGTTCGAAATGAGCATTTTTCCGGGAAATATGGAAATGCAAAAGGAGTTGCTATTAGATTTGAAGAAGCATAAGCAAGTGCCCATCAGATTCGAACCAAGCCTGTTTGCCAAATTGAAGATGACAAGACGGACAAAGTCCAACTGCAGCGAAGAGCTGGAGGCTGTGGCCAAAGTTACACGAGAGACAACTCCAACGGCAGCCTAGAACTAAAAGTTCTTCTTTTTATTGTTTTTCTTTATTTCCCCGTTTTTCTTGGGTTGGAGGAAGGCACTTAAAAGAACAAAAAACAAGCTGCATACGAATAAGCAACTAAAACCAAAGGTGCAAAATAACAGGAACCAACAAAACTGCAAGTCGTAAGAGAGTTAAAGAATGTTACTTTGGGGAGATATAGGAGAAGCAGAAGGTGATGAGGGCAAAGGGCGTTTCAGAGGAGAGAAATAGTAAGGAATAGATCCCTCTGGAGCAGCAGTAGTGGTAGCACAAGAGACTTTTGCTACTTGGCTACAACTAGCGCCAGCACCTCCACAGTCTGACTGATTGACCAAATGTGTAATGTAACCGCTCAAGGTTCGGATGGGGTTCGGGGTATTGTAAATTCTCCTCACGACATCAAGAGCAGCTTCTTCACCCACCTGTGCCAGCTTTTTCCGGGCCAAGTGATCCGGCGGATCATGGTGCTTTTCTGCGCAGATTCTGTTTATTACCTCCTCTACTTTTGGTGGAAGAGGGACTTGACCTTGAAGCGGTGGAGGTGGAGGTGGAGTCCGAAAATGATTATCCATTATTGTTTGTTGTACTGCCGGGAATGCAAGATATTTGGGGTGTAATACTCTACTAGTTCTAGTGCTAATAGTCGTCTTTGCTGCAGAGGAATGTTTTGAATTTGGGAGGGACAGAAGAGACTTTTGACTGGGAAATTGAATTCCGGGTTCTAACGATCACTTTTGTCACATAGGAGAGGACGCAGTTCTCCACTCCTTATTATATTATTACTAGAGGTACTTGAGCTGTGCAAAGCACAGCTTGGGCCCCCTAGAAATTTAGTCAAACACATAATATCAAATTATTTTAGCACATGATAAATCAATAGAAATATAGGAGAAAATTGGGCCTCAAAACAATTAAAATTAACAAATGTTATTTGAACTCTCATTTTTGTTAATCACATTTTCACTATTATTTTTATCATATAGTTTTTATTTATTGTAGGAATACAATTAATAAAATATGGAGTATAAATAAAATTTCCCTCAGAATTTGTTGTGAAGAGAAATTCCATCTATGAAGTTAATACCTCTATTTATTGTGATTTGAATAAAGATTTTTGAACTATTATTATGATAATACCCAAAAAAGAGAGAAAATCAATACACTACAAGTGCATTGCTGTATTAATTAGTAGCATAGTCTTAGTTGTAACTAAATCAAAAGCAGTCATAATGCTTCCAGTATTTTAATAATGAGAAAAAGTTTAGAAAGCCACTAAGACATGTCACAATCTTCAACATCAATATAATTTACTCTAAAGTTTCACATTTTTCTTTCTTTATTTATTTAAATCCCGTTTAAAGGTGACAACATTATCCTGCAGCTCCAGAATATAAATAGCAAGGTTAGATAAAAAATATGAATTGCTATGTTTCCAGATCTACATATACAAATTAGAATTGAACCATTTTTTTTTATTGCAAAAACATCTTCCTAATCAAAATTGAATTTTCTAACAATTTTTAATTGTGACTTCTACCACCAACTACAATTTTTATATGCCAACCCAATTGATACTACAGAACCTGAATAATTAAAAAACAAACAAAAATTAACGTTAGTTTAAACATATACAAAATCTTATAGAACACATAGGTAGAAGAATGCCTAGCTAGATTTATCTTGGTGGAAGCATCACATGATATATATTTTCTCTTTAAAAATACACAAAATTGTAGATAATTACAAAATGTAACCAAAAAACAAAGAAAAAGAAAAAAAATGTGAAGTAAGAAATCAAATCGTGGGAGGAGAAAAGACAAGAAAGAATTATTGTTCTATTCTTCATAGAAAATGATCATTGGTATAAAATGAATTCTAAGATCTTTTTACATATTTTAATATTTCACATTTTATCCATGAAAAATACCAAATAATAGCATCATCCTATAAATTTAACAAACAAATGCCAGTTGACTATAACATTATGATCTAAGAATAGAGCAAATATGAGAGATTAGACATGAAGAAAAAAAAGGAAGAAAAGAAAATGTAAAATGGGATAAAAAAAAATTTCTCTTTGTTAAGTAGCTAATCATCTCGACGAAAAAAAAAAGAACATGGCGACAATTTTAGTTAGATTAGTTTTAAAAAATAAAAAATAAAAGCACTTGTCGCAAGAAGAAGAAGAAGCGACACAGTTGATTTTCTGAAGGAGAAAAAATATTTTAATTATTTTGGCCCAATTGAATCAAAAAAGGGAAGGAAAAGTTTAGCTAAAATGACCAAGAATCCGCTTGTTAAAAATATGTGCAATACATGTGTAAAAAAGATGGGGTGCTATAGTAACTTGGCTCAGAGAAAAAATATTTTAATTATTTTGGCCCAATTGAATCAAAAAAGGGAAGGAAAAGTTTAGCTAAAATGACCAATAATCCACTTGTCAAAAATATGTGCAATACATGTGTCAAAAAGATGGGGTGTTATAGTAACTTGGCTTTTTTCTTATATAATAGGTAGATATATATAATAATAATAATATGCGGATTGTGAGCGGCACTGGGGATCTCTTATTCTTCCCGCAGCCGGGATCCTCTGTCCAATTTTTTGTGTCCAATTTCCTGTCCAACACAAAACTATGTAGTTCCGCTTATTCTTGTGGCTGACGTGGCACATAAAAATAAATGCTTGTTTGGCTCAAGCACCAAGCAACAGCCCTGTCAAATTGTAACCATTCACCGTGAATTCCTCCAAAGTAAACCACTAGCCTAACGGAAAGACATAGCAAAATTTGAGACATACAGAGAGACAATCAAATCCTTGGAAGTACAAATTGGTGAAGGAAAACAAATTGTCCTTCTTGCTTTCTTTGAAGGAAAACAAATTATGTTTTAACATTTTCAGATAGAAAAAGTGTTTCTTGTACCTTTTGCAATCTATTTTTTATTCTGGTAAATTGATTCCTCTTTTTGTTTTTTAAGTAGAATTATGTCTTCATTGATACAGTGTTCATTTAATTTATAATCCATCTCTTGGGGAAATATGGTTAAAAACTGACATATTTCATTGGCTTGGTTGACAAAGTTGCTAATTGAATGAAAAACCATGTGATGGATAAAAATTGAAAACCTTTAAACATCATGGAGACCTCTGCTATTTTAAGATGTAATAGCTGTTTTCTTTTCTTACCACCCCCCCTTTCCCAGAGAAAAAAAACACCACCCCACCCACATACACACATTTTATAAGGCATACGGATTGCGGTGGTAAACAAATATATGTGCTGCAATTTGGTTCACGATGATTGTTGTTTCAGATGTCAATGCCTAGAAGATTATATGCTTAGCCAGTTTTTTTATTTTTTGGTTTTATGGAATTATATATTTCCTTTTCACATACAGTGGTTTTTGTGATCACTGCTAAACCGGGGGAAGTAGAAGGTGCTGTGATTTGATTGCATTGTCTTTGAATTGTTTATCCTGTTTGAGCATTTTTTATGATGTTGCAGAGAGAGTCTATCATCGACATCTTCTATGAGAAGCACTTGGGTCATTTGATTGATGTCATAACATCCTCACCGAGCCAAACAGGCATTTATTTTTATGTGCCATGTCAGCCACAAGAATAAGCGGAACTACGTAGTTTTGTGTTGGACAGGAAATTAGACACAGAAAATTGGACAGAGGATCCCGTCTGTTCTTCCCGCGCCAAAAGACAGCCGGGATCCTCTGTCCAATTTTTTGTGTCCAATTTCCTGTCCAACACAAAACTATGTAGTTCCGCTTATTCTTGTGGCTGACGTGGCACATAAAAATAAATGCTTGTTTGGCTCAAGCACCAAGCAACAGCCCTGTCAAATTGTAACCATTCACCGTGAATTCCTCCAAAGTAAACCACTAGCCTAACGGAAAGACATAGCAAAATTTGAGACATACAGAGAGACAATCAAATCCTTGGAAGTACAAATTGGTGAAGGAAAACAAATTGTCCTTCTTGCTTTCTTTGAAGGAAAACAAATTATGTTTTAACATTTTCAGATAGAAAAAGTGTTTCTTGTA